TATATATGTATCGTCAGTGCAAAAACTGCAAACAGATGAGAATTTCATATAGGTCATTTTAATGCGGTACGATAGCTCGTACTTGTTGCCTCTGTTATGAATATTTACGCTCTATGGTCTGTCGTTGCTATAGGGGTCTTTGCGAACGGTGTTGCCATGTGCATTTACTGCATGCCTTCGTACAGGTCCACCCTCTATGTGGAACCATTAACCGTACTAACTGAGCGTCGTAGTCGCCCCCTTGATGAATAGCTTGTAAACACCACCACTTTGACTGGATCTCTGGATAAAGTTTGGCTAATTTGAACCCGTCTTCTTCACAAAGCTTCTCCAGCTAGATACTCTGTTCACTGATGCGCGCTATTCGCTAATTTTTTTCTTAATGAAAACTCGTTTCTAAGAATAGTCAGATTCACCTGGTCTACTTGATTGATTTTACGTTAACGCGCCACTATGAAGCAATACTGCCATATATATATAGTAATTCGACCGATCTATATCAGAAACACTTATGTCATTTCCTAGTCAACGTTGATGACGAGAAAGGTAGACAAGACTAGTCTGATTTGGCAATTTGTGCTGAGGACCGATCCGGAGCAGGCAACACTGAGCAATGTCAATCGTAAGAGACAGCCAAAACGACGACAGGTATTTACAGTAAGCCCATGTTTATAACCAAATAATAAAATTGATATTCTATTTGTGATCTGCCCCTGGCTATGAGGAAAAGCTCTAATGCCAGAATGGCTAAATGCTGAGCATATATTAAAATTAGGCACGTCCCATGTTCTCAGAAAGTCTCCCCATCTTTGCCTTCTATTAACACGCGCCTAAGACGGTGACAAACAGGTAGAGTTAGTAATAGATAGCGTGTCCGAGTGTAAGTATAAACGAATGCTCGGTAAAGTTAAAGCAAAAAGTCTACACTGCCCCGATTCTTCCGGCGCTCGAGTCGTCCCCGCTGTACCCCTTTTTATATATGTATGGAGAGATGGATGGTCTGCTCACTTCTACCCCGCAACGTTGACGTAGCCTTGAAGGCTGTACTGACGATAGGCTAGCTCAAGGGGATGAGGAGACGGTGAAGTGACGCAAGTCTGCCTGACTTTAGCTTTGTTTTTGTGTATATACACATGACATATACTTGATGACAATAGGCAAACGACATATCTAAGCCATTCGTGTAAGGATGGAATCATGACGAATCACCTGTTACTATTATTTTGTATTTCTATTTTTCACATTTATACACGATGATGATGTGGATGATGATGATGATGTGGATGATGATGATGATGATGATGATGATGATCATTGATAGAGTTGCAACAACAAATTTAGGAACTATAGTTGTATTAATAATACACGCTTACTATAGACGACGACAACAACAACAACAACAAAATAATAAATATTGATAATCATAAGTGTCATTGTAACTATAAAAAACGGCAAGAAACGATGACCTACCAATTGTCAGGTTGTGTGGCAATAAATACGCGGATAATGGTGTTTCTATATACAAAGAAGAAAAAATGTTTTTTTCAAACCCAAATAAATCCATCTAGTAATACACTATGCGAACTTTTACAATAGTTATTGCGTATACAAATAATATATTTTAGACCTGAGTGACTGGTGTCGTCTTGTGCATTTCACTATGTGGCGGCTGGCATTCAGTGACAAATTGGAAATGACCGAAGAGCAGCGTACGTCCCGAATCGAAATCCAAAGAGTCCATTTTATCACAAAAAGCTGGTTCTTGCGGATTATCATACGATAGCGAAACGTAGATACTGACGAAACTTCTTTCTGGATTCCAAGGCACGTGTCGCGGGTCGTCATATAATTTCTAGGTAGCAGCTTACTGACTAGTCCACAATATGGATTAATATCGCAATTACGTAATAGACGGTTGCTAGTAATGTCATCCGTTTTAGCAACGGCAACCTCTTGAAGCATCAGGCCCGCGTAGCGCTGCAGCTGGATAGCAAATAGCCTTAACGGAACAGCAAATCGGCTCGGGAGAATATTATGATGGAAGTCATTCGATGAGTGAAGCTTATGGACGCCGTCATGAGTATCTAGACTAAATATATCAAGTAGCCGGTGGATTTTTCCTTCGCTGAAACGGTCGCAGTCAAAAGAATTAGTTTCATTACCTCCGTTCGAATTTTTCGGTTTTTGTTAATGTTTTGCTGATCAGTTGTTCTTTTGAATCAACAGACTGATTCGATAAGGAAAGTTGGCGTAGTGAGATTTTTGCCTCACTGTGTCGTTTTTTTCTTCCTTATTACATAATAATAATGCATACCTCATTTAGTACTGTTTTTGTTATTTTTTATATCGCTGTATACTGCCGAATATGTTTCTTTCAGCCTTGAGAGTCGCATAGAATAGATTCGTATAATACACAAAGTAGATCTCTGGCCGACTGTCATGGTGTCAGTTTTTCTAGCAAACTCTCTCTCTCTCTCTCTCTATATATATATATATATATATACCCTTGACAGTTGTTGTTATTTTTTGCAGTTCTCTATTTTTTTCTTAGTACATCCAATAGGAATAGAAGAGTTCATATGACAAAATGACGTTTTATTACATTTGGGGTTGTTAGCAATAAGGAGCTTTTGCTTAGTTAGCTGTCCTGGGACATCTGGGAAATAGTTACACATATGTAGCGTGTATAGCGAAGACAAGCGATATGGGAAGAGGGTGCACGCACGGATTACGTAAACGGACCGACCTAGTAGCCGTCGCTAAATTCGGTGTTTGTAATGGCATGTACGTTAATATTAAAGCACTCTGTATAAGACAGGCTGTACTTTTTTTGAGACTATATCAGGTGGCCAGTTTGTTCTGAGGTAGATGCTTCATCAGAGCCAAAGGAAGGTACCTTGTTACCACAACCGCCATAACAGCAACTCGAACCAGCTTCCGACAGAAACTGTAATAACTTCACTGACGCCCCTCCATACGGTAAGCATGTTTGCCGTCTACACAACTCGACCAATTGCGCACGTCCTGCCGACAAATACGAACGACAAGTACTTATAATAGTAAAACGTGCATCATCTATTCATAGCTAGCAGGCAAATGGCACAGGGTTTGACAACGGTAGCAACAGCCCTAGTGAAAAATTGACATAGACATAGTGTCATTCAACTCACAGTAGATAGATGCAGTAAACACTATTAACGAACTGCCGAATCTTTGCACCCCCATATAAGAACAACAAAAACGACGACCATACTGTCCGATACACAACCAACAGCTTAGCACCGTTCGTGGCCGCTGCAATTGGATGGAAGTCTAGTAACAGTCCAGCACGTTTTATGAGTGGTGTCCCGGTCGCAGGTTAAGAATCCCGCCCCATAATGTGTATGTACAAAGAAACAGCCTGTTCCTGTGTGTGCGCATTTTCACGCAGCAGGACAGCGCTGCCCAACTAGGCCGGTTTACTGTCCTAAGCTGAGTCTGAAACAAGCCAGCAATGGCACCATCTAACAGGTCGAACGCCGAACGAAGCTTTCGTACGGCTTGACGTGGCTATCTTCGTGTGTTTGTTTCGTAAAAACTGTGTTGCAGAAGATTTTATGCAGCTCAGAGCCAAGGGACCGACTAATAGCTTGATCTAATGCCGTCACGTTATAAACGAGACATATAGCAGTGTCACAATAACGACTAAGCAATCAGCCATTGGATATTCGTACTGCCCAACCAATTCGTATATAGCAGTAATTACTATGTTATGGTAGCCATTTCAATATGGCCGTATGTTCACCAACAATGTAAAAAACACATAGCTTTGTGCTGTTGTCACTTATGCGCTTGGTGCGTTTTCTTCAATCCCGAACGAAATAGTTGTTTTACGAGCAATGAATAAACAAAAAAAGGTCCAACTGGCAACGTTAACAATCACGGGTTTGTTTTCGGTTAACCTGGTATAATACGAGGGTTATGTACAGCAAAAATCACAATGATAACAACTGCATACCCTGACAGTGAAGAATCTAGGTAGGCGCTCAGCATTCTAACGGCTTTTCTCCACGTTACTTGCTCGGCTTACCCAAAGAACTAATGGAACTGATCCATTCTCAATAGCATAATGATAACAATACTAGCTCCTTAATAAAATACACGATGAATTGATTAGTAGACGATGCATCAACAAAGAAATCATCAATATACACAGGGACAACACACAACGCGGCAGGATTAATTTCGAAACTAAAAAAACTTCGCGGGTTTTCCGCTCATCATGGGCGACGGAACATTAGCGTCCAAGGCAAAACACCGTCCACGGGACTAGCCACTGACGACACTGTCATCGGCAAACAATCGATTAACAAATCGTCCAGTACTCGCTTTAGCTGTCTCTACTTTCGTTGAAACTCCGTTATCCCGCCGCGTAATCGGTCATACGACGTAAATATCATCGATGCTTTGTGTGTACATTAGTATGCTATTTTAGCATTGACAATGACGATGATGATTATGAATCGAGATAGTCATAGACGGATATACCGGAAAGGAAGTATGTCGTGGCTGTAATTCTCTCGCCGCTAGGATCTTATACTTAGTGGCGAGATGGCATGTACCGGGCTCTTCTCAGTGATCGCTTGCTCCATTTATAGGTCCGAATCCAAAAATGGGCTGGGTCAACCTGACTCTAAACAGCAGCAACAACAACAACAACAAACATGATCCATTGACAGCACCGTACTATTTATGAGCACGAAATGAATGTCTTTTTAGCTGGCACAAACGCTTGACAGCTTCTGAGCAGTCTGATCAGCTATTTATCATCGTCTATGACGTCGTGACAAGCCGAACGAAAAAATATTGTGCCAATGAGGCGCTTTGTGAAGACCTCCGAGC